CGGCACTGAGATTTCGATATTTCAATTTTTATACATTTTCTACAGCGTTGCATTTCGCTTTTTATGCGTTTTTGCTGTGCATTGAGCAAAAGCGCGTATTGTCAAGAGGCGGTCCGAGTATATGTGTTCGAAAGGGAGTGAATTTGCCCACTCAATTTGAACTCAGTAACCAGTAAAGCTGGAGGGCTGAAATTTTGGGAGCTTATTCCCACTCGATATGTTAACCTCCTTTTTTAAAACCACCGCTAATACGAATCTAGATCTCGCGTATGGATCCCGAAAAACACATAAATGCATACATACAAGCATATGTACGAGACGTGGACGAGCCAAAAGGCATTTTATTGGTTTTCATTAGCAAGAAAAGGATGATGAAAATATGTTGTGCTCTGTTGAAGTGAAACCTACCTCGCGCTTACTCTGGTCTACTCGGCGGTGGGCCTGGCGCTCACCACAATCGCTATCGAGATTGCTTCGGACTACTTGAAAATGCTGCACTATTTTGGTCGAAAACTTGACAATGTTGCCAATGTACAAATTTGGTTTGGCGGCAAAATGTAAGCCCTTTCTTGCATGTATAGTGATTTATAATAACAATAACAACTATATAAAGAAGAGTGAAAGGAACAAAGCGCCGGAATAGCTAGGAGACGTCCAGGCACGTCACGTCCCTCGGAACTGGTGCACGCCCAGTGCCCGTGCACCCCACCATAGTTCCTTGCCATTTTCCACACACATTACGTCCCTAGGCATAAATGCATGGTCCCCTGCCAGCCTTGTCAATTTCGCTCGAGCAAGCTACACATCACAACGGTCATTTTCAAATCAAATCACCAGTCCGAGAGCAGGACATCGGTCGCAGGTCACTGTTACCATGCCCAGGCCATGCCATTCCTCAGCATTGTTTTGAATTTATCAGCTTCTGCAAAAATAGCCCCCAATTTCTTTCCCCAGTGGATGTGACAGAGTGGAATCCCACAGTCTTATTGGCGGATGCTTGCAGTCGAACTGAACATTCTGCAAGAAAAACCCATTCACAACAGACGCTAAGACGGAAGTCAAACACCACCACTTCTAACCTACACGATCAGTATTACAGGCTTACGGTGAAGCAGCTGGTCCGGAATTTGGGTGACCACTTCAACTTGCCCGTGGAGCAGATTGCCGAACTGGATCTCGATGAATTCGTCGATGCTGCTATCAAGGTTGAAGCTGGCGAACTGGCCACGTTACGGGTGAGAGAGCACATCCATTTTACATCCATTGTCATAGCTGAGCAAGCAGATTCACAACATGCTGCTGCTGCTTTTCAGGCTCCGTGCCCGATCGGTATTGACATTGATTCACTAATATTTATGGATGCCGATGATCCAAACGTGCCACAATCATACGCACCTAATCCGCCTTTATCATCCAGGAACTGATACGCCGGAAATATATGAATTTCATGAAAAGTTGATTTTATTATCTGCGCCTGGCTGGGTGAATGAACCGGAGGCGCTGTTTTAAGCCTACGCTATCTGTATACATTCGAAACGGCATCGACAATGCGAATTCAAAGTAAAAATTCAAATTTTATCGTATACGCGTTACATCCAGCAAAAAAACATATAGAAAGACAGACAGAGAGAGACAACCATTTGGCACATTATGTACACCATATTTAAACGGTCCCTAAGCTCGTTGGATCGAATCCACTTCAGACACACCAAAGTGCTAATGCTGCTGCAGCACGATGAACACATAACAAAGGAGATGTGCTATGATTAACACGTATGTACGATGACCCCTGCGCATTGAAAAAACAGCAGCAGCAGCCGATCTCCGTAACAAATCGTAAAGCGACAAAAAAAAGGATTGCCACGGAAGGAAATAACTTAACCATAAGTAAAGCGCCAACGTGTAAATTCCAGTAATAAATAGAGATAAATCAGATGTTCGCCTGAAGGAAGTACCGATAAATAATTGAGATTATTAATTCGGGAAGTGACTAATAATAACGAAAACCATCTCGAAGATCATGAAGATATGCAGCTGTGGCCGACCATCAACGAACATGCACAACAGAACCAACAGCAACAACAGCTTTTTTTTTTTCAAACATTATTGATAGCTTTTCCGCAAAATGCTTGTAGATTGGCTTCGCGGAAAGCTTCCGATAGAGTCTGAAATGTTCAGCATTTAAAAACAACGCATAATCTGCCATAGCATACTCTCACTACTAGCACAGAATTAACAAGAGGCAATGTGCGACTGAAGATTTGCTGTTTTCCATTGTTAAATTTTCACTTGACATACCACACCAACTCAGAGGTAATGAATGTGATTTCCACTTCCAAGCAACTTTTTAGAGTTAAAACCTCGCCTGATTGGGCTCACATCTGACTGAAAGTGAAGGCACTCTCAGAAGTACCACAAATTATCAGCAGCTACCAGCTAGCAAGGCTGTCAATATCTCCTCTTTTTCCAAACGCATCTAAGAAACAAGCTCCAAAGATAAATCTGAATACCATTTTACCCTTCAAAAAAACAGAATCGGGAAACTGCCGCTCAAGAGAAGAAAAGGTTTAAAAAAAGCAATAAGAACGGATCAGGAGAAATTTCGAAAATCTAGAAGCTCAAAAAAAAATACACCGGTTTTAAATCCCCCTTGGAAACGAAAAGTTAAACAAAAACACAATAAAAAGCAGGGACGAATATGTACTTGTATTATGAACAACATGTATTAACTATTTTCTTATATTCGCTAGCAAAGTGAATGACCGACGGAAGCGACTGGTTTTGCGATGCAGGGAACTGATTCATCACAGGCTATTATCCATTATGTGCCTCGGAAAAGTGTAACAAAAAGCCTCGTTGCATCTTAACTGTGATGGAGCCAGAAAGCTTGTCAACATTCGAACAAAGCTATCCTCCCCAAAGCAATCAGGTGCTCTCGAATACACGCCATGCACATGTAAAATGATCCCAAGTGGGTGCAATAACAGTGGAAAACAAACGGGATGAGGGTGACAAACTCGCGCGACATCTTCACATGAAGCGCCGTACTCCAAAGCCAGCGTCGCTTCGGCAATCATTTCTCCAGCGTTCTGAAATACAATTGCAAACTATATTTATGCAGAGGGACAAGCAAATTTTAAATCCCCCTCCCCTCCTAAAAAAAATTGATGCAGAATGCATACTGGTCCAATAATGTGTGCGCCAAGCATTCGATCGGTTTGCTTGTCGCCCAAAATCTTCACAAATCCCTCCACATCATTGTTTGTTTTGGCTCGTGAATTCGCAGTGAATGGAAATTTGCCAACTTTGTATTGAACATTCTAAAAAGAACGAATTCGATCAAGCAGTAGCAACAGCAAATCTTTTCCTTCTTAACTATTGCTCACTGATCACTTCGTCGTGGCCACAGCTACAGCGGAACGGCATGAGAAGACTGAATCTCTAGGAAAACGGGCAAAAAAGCATTTGTTTGCGGAAGAGCAGACCAAAAATCAATAAAAACAAATGCCTAAAGAATCAGCACACTGGCCAGTACTAGTCATAACAACTACAAAGAATGAAAATGATTACCACTCCAGGTTAAACTCCTGCGACAGTGATTTGAAGAAACCAACGAGAGGGAGGGGACAATCTCTCAGTACTGCGATCGTCACTTGCATAATCAAAAATCGTCAACATTGAGGAGTTCAGCAGCAACTAAGCGAGAGGACTTTCACAAGGTCTTACTAAAGAATTTCGCGATTTCTCATGCTTAGATGTAGGTAAGCGTGAAAAATGCCTTTATAGTTTTGAAGCCGCATGTGATCTGAGATTATACTTTTCGAATTCCATCTTTCACAGTTATTATTCAGTTAAATCAGCGCGACAACCAAATACACGCAAGCACATGATGTGCTTTCATTTTTCACGCAAAACCGCATAAAAAAAACAAAAACAAACTTCGCTTTTCAGTTGCTCCTCGGATTTGCCAACCCAAGCAACTTCTGGATGAGTGTAAATAACAGATGGTATGCAATTGTAATCTAAGTGATTGTGCGCACCAGCGATACCCTCAACACAAAGAATACCCTCATCCTGCAAAATTTGCGGACAGATTAACAATCAAGTACAGATGATGCAAAATTCGGAGAAAAACAAAGACAAATGGGCAAAGAAGTGATGTGCTGGGATGCGATGCTACGGAAGATGGAGAGATAACCGATGGTTTTTCAAATGCACTGCACACGGCAACAGGGAAAAATCAAAGATTTCAACATCAATGAAATGCTTACTTCGGCCTTGTGTGCCAGCATCGGCCCAGCAATCACATCGCCAATAGCGAATATCGAGGGCACTGAGGTTTGAAAACGCTCATTCACAGGAATCCTTCCCTTCGAGTCCAGTTTTATTCCAACACTTTCAATACCCAGGTCCGTTGTGTAAGGTCGTCGACCAATTGCGACAAGAACAGTGTCCGCCTCCAACTAAACATTGCAGATGAGTAGACGAACACAAAAAAAAAAACCTCACAGTCGACAATGAATTTCTGTTCTTCTGAAAAAATACGGCAATTTCAAATTCTTCTTGTTGCAGAAACTGCGATGTTCCCTAGCATTAATTGAAAATGATTAAATGTGTGAGTACGCTCATCTGCAATAGATTCTCAAACACTGCAAAAACAGTACCGTTTTCGGGTTTCCGCCTTTTGCGCTTTCAACATTGATCTTTATCAAGCCACCCTCTTTTTTTCCGGACACCACTTTTGTATTCAGCATGAATACCATACCTGAACAGAAATCCTCCAACAGTCAGGCAAAAAGCGCAACTTAGTAAACACAAAAAAAAAAAAG